AATGAAAAGCTAGAATTGTGAGATTATAAAACTATTTGAGAGAAAAGATATAGAAGGAATTAATTATCTAACCATGGTTAGAGTCTTGCTAATAGTCAATTAAATCTTAGCCTTTAATTTTAAATTATAATATGTGTCTTCAAACCAAGTAGGAACTTGGAAAAATGGAGACAATAATTGAAAAATATTAGTGGATATCGAAGAGTATTGAAGTTTTAACACTAACATTGTAAATAATGTTGATATTATCAGTACCTTTAAATGGTTCATAACAGGTTATTAATTATCATATTTTGTAAGAGTTACCTATTTTATTAGGTTGACTTAATCTTATGATATGAGAAATACACTGCCATTGTTCAAAACTAAAACTTTATTTGTGTACGGTAATATGTTCATTGTTAGAGTCTACATACCGACTAACTACAATTTTTCAAAATTAATTTGGTCAAATGAGGAGCTTTTTCATGGGTCCTAAATCTTTTATCAAAAATTTACGGAAAGCAAAATTTGATGATAGTATAAGGAGCACAAGATACACAAAAAAGGGAATTGAAGAATGACAAGAATGCTGCCTTTTATTTGAAAACATACCCGTTGAGTTTGCAAGCAATGTAGGAATCCACAAATTGTTGAGTGCTCCGTAGGCTCAAATTCCCACAAAGCTTGTAATACTTCTGCAGATAATACTTCTGATGTTGGTTTTCGGCAAGAAAGAATTCATATTTAATTTCTTTCGAGAATGGAGTAATCTTTGTAAGAATCCTCCTATTAAGCTTCATTTGCCGCCTTATCTTTGACTCCTGTGCTTGTTTCCTCTCTTCTTCTGTTGAACAGAATATTGCTGATCTCAAGTGTGTACTTAACCCGAAATTCTGCATAATAGTACATGCCTCACATATAAATTTAAACTTCTACTTTCCTCTCTTTCATTTTATAATAATATAACGGGTTAGACTGGGTACTATGTTTTTCTCATAAATAAAGAAAGATTTTGGGCACATACCAAAATTATTTTTAGAACTTATGATCCTAAATTCCTAAATATGTCATCAATTTCTATAATTATATATGGGAGCATGTCGTTAAGTGTATAATGGGGATTTTGGACTTAACGAATTTCATTTTTTAAGAATAAATTAAAAAGTGAAGTGTGTCGTATAAATGGAATCAGAGAGAAAGTTAAAGGAGTAGAGGAGATGAGATACTGACAAGGAAATGTTTGTTGGTTGGATCATGAATTTCCCAGAAAAAATCACAAAGAGATGTGTAAGAAACGACTCTCTTGTCATATGTGATCTTCACTGCTTCAGTATGACCTGTTGTTCCTTTAGAGACCTCTCTGTAAGAAGGTTTCCTTGTAGTTCCTCCACTGTATCCAGTTGCTGTTTTTACAACTCCTTCTACTCGACCATATGCAGCTTCTAAATCATGGAATTTATCTGCAATTTTTTTAAACCACATCAACTACTACAACGATTAAAAAGATACTACCGTTGTTTCTAACTTGGCACAGAATCAATAAAAAGAGACTGTAATTTTGACAACATGAAATTATTTTTCAGACTTCTGATCTTAAACAAGTTACGATATTCCTGTAGCTATAAGACCTTGTTACTAAAGTTAAAGTAAAAGTTTTAAAGTCCAAGAGTTTCCAACAACAGAAATATGTCATTCTAGAGAGAGAGATGTACCTCCAGCAAAAATTGCATGACAGAGGAATTCTGCCGGAATATCGTTAGCAGTTAACAGAGTGTTATCGGACTTGGGTTTGTCTGAATCTTGAGCTTTGCTCTGTCCGAGTAACTTGAAGTAGCGCATAATTGAAAAAATATGTACTTAGTCAGAAGGAGATGAGTGAATGGCCTCTAATTTATGGATATTATACCTTAGTCTTTAAGGGAAGACGAATGACATATACATATATATACCAACAAAAAGCTGCGTAGTATGAACTATACAGCCTGATTCAACACCACCTTGAAAAGTGCTTAATTTAGAAAAACGTGTGGCTTGTGGTCAGAGTCGGAACGCTAGGCGTCATCTAATACTGTCTCACAAAAGTTTGCTTTAATTTATCTGTGTAAATAATAGTATATAATTTCTAACAAATAATAATACTTATATATGTACAACAACTAGACACGCCTTGAAAATCAGTGGAGGACCCATAATTTTATTAAAGCGTGATCAATAAAGTAAAATCTGTATGTTGATTTTTCCTTTTTCCAATAATGCCCATGATTGTTTTTTTCATTTTGAGGTGATGTTAAATACATAAAATAAACAGTAAACACAAGTTTATTACATATAAAATAATTAAAAGACATAAAAACAAAAATACACCAATTTGCACGTACAAGTTATAACTTTTAAATGATAATTTACAAATAATAAGTAATATAACATAAATTGTAACTCCATATGACACAAATAATAAGTTTTAAAGGAAATATGAGCTAACAATTTTAATATATTACTTTAAATAGAACTAGTGTAAGCTAAAAAGGCAAAGGAAACGAAGCTAAATTAAGAAAACATACGGCATCTACTTACAGCCAGATTCAAACCCACGCATTCTATGGGAAACTGATCGTGCTTGATCACTAAGCCACCCTTCGCAATTGTGATAAGTGGGTTTATTTATATTAAATGTACGTTTTTCAAGTGTAATTTACACATGCAAATAACATAATTTTTCGACGAAGAGGATTTAGTTGAACACACTTGCTCCTATGTGGATTCGCCCCTGTTGAAAATGATACAAACTATATACTGTCAATTTGAAATAGCACATATAACCTTAAAGAATCATAGTGTCATATTTAAATTAACTTATAAGTCGAATTATAATAACAGACCAACACCAGTTGCGTAAAATTTTTATTGAGAGGTATCATCCAATGCCGCTTCGCAAAGCTTTTCCTTATATGTAAATGATGTATTTTATTTTAAAAAAATATGTTAATTGTGTCTTGAATTTTATGATCCTAGTTATATTAGATTTTCTCGTATTTTTAAGAAACTCATAGTCCCTATAGGTTTGGAAAATCTATTACTCTAATAGATTTGGAAAAGAAAAATTTGTTATCCTTGTAGGATTGAGGAAACCTTTCTCGTATAGGTTTGGGACTACTTGAGATCTTTATATGGGGGTTGTAGTTGAAAATTTATTGTACTATGTTTTTCTTCTCATTCATAGTGAAAAACTCTCTCTGCTTCTGTCCCGAGGATTAGCCTTAGTCGAATTTCGTTAAATCCTTATATTATTTTCTTCTCTATTTTTGCTTTGTGTGTATTTGTGTGGTAGTTAACCTACGATCTTCCTCAACAATTAGACCCATGCAAGTTTCTTCACAAAATCTAAGGTATTAAGATGTCTTCATCATCTTTAACAAAGTACGAATTATAAAAATTCGATGGGGATCTAGTTTTACTCTATGGGAGATTAGGATGAGATCTTCTATGGTGTTACAAGGGTTATAGAAGGCAATTGATGAGGATTTTCCTGGAAGATGAAAGAGTCAAAGAAGGCAGACCTTAAAAAGAGGGTTTTCAGTATGATCTTCATGAGTGTTACAGATAGTGCTCTTTGAAAATTTGGTAAAGAAATCAACAACGGATGGAAGATGCTGGAAGATCTATATTCTAAGAAATTGCTGACAACCTGCCTCTACCTTGAAAAATAATTGTACAATCTCTGTATGAACGAAGTTACACTTGTTAAAACTCACCTTGATGAGTCTAATTCAATTATAATGGACCTTAAAAACGTAGATATCAAAATTGAGAGTGAGAATCAGGCCTTTATTATGTTATGTTCTTTACTAGCATCTTACGATATATAACACATGCATGGTCACCCATCTGAATTTAACACTCTAGAAGATTGCTAAGAAGTTCATATTGATTATGAAGAACTTACTAAAACAATACAAAGCCTTTGAAGTTCTAGATTTATATTTAATAGTTAAAATTTAAATTTACTCTTTTTTCGTTAATTTAGTTGTTGTTAAATATAAACTTTAATTTGCAAGTTTGAAATAAGAATTATAAGTGCAATTTTTTTTCATCTTCATTGTATTTTGTTATCTTAAATTCTTAATGAAATATTCAAATATTAGAATTTTAAGGCCTTTGAATCCTTTATTCAAGCACTCTTTTTATATGATTTTTTTGTTTTATATTTTTACTTTATATTAATATAAATTACGATAGTTATACAAAATATAAAAAAAAATTACATAAACCCGGCCCGGCCCCTTAGGCCCGGAACCGTTCTGGTTAATGTTTCAACGGATGAGCCCGGACCCGTTAAGCCCGATTTGTAAAACCCAATAACCGGCCTGAATTGGTGACTGGCCGGTCGCTATTTTTCTCAACCCGGACCGGCCCTGCTCACTTCTTTGTTACCTTTAATATGAAGGATTTTGTTTGGACGGTAATGTTGTGATCGGATGATGTCTCGTCCTTGGAAAATCAACCCGCAATATAAAATTATATGACCTCTTATTCATTGGTTTTCGAATTTATAGACACTAGTATAAATTGTAATCTCTTGATCACTTAATTATTTTTATAGGAACTCTAACTGAATTCATCATTTTTATTCTGCATCTCAACGATGTTACAGCAAACATGATTTTTCATTGTTAAATCCAAATTAAGGATCTATATCAAGTATTGGACTCAATTCTCTTTGAATTTAATTTCTATACAAATGTAATTATGGTTTGAATAGGATACATATGAATCACTACAAGAACATTGACTTTTAACGATCAAATTCTAACGAAGAGATTTTAATCCGGTCGTTATAAGTGTATTTATGACGACCAATTTTCTTTCCGGTCATCAAAATTAATTTTAGGAGTAATATTAACGAAAGGATAATTTTCGATCCTTAAAAATAATAAAATCCAGACGTTAAATATAACAAAATTAGGCGCTATTTTTTTCCTCTTTTTTTGCCCAATCCACAATTGGCCCACGCACCCCTCAACTCACTTCCCCTCCTCGCCTCCCCCCTTTCCCCCAAAAGAACATACTGTATGTTTTATATAACTATACAATAACTTACAGTTACATAGCAAATAATAGCTAACATCTCACAAATTGAACTCTACGAAGAATCATAATTTGGGTTCCTTTCTGCAACCTAGGGTTTTATTCTCCTTCTCATCAAGGTAAGCTCTAAACTTGTAGTAAATTATTTTGAAATTGGGCACTTTTTTATGTTATCAGTTCTCTCTCTGTTTTTCAAATATTGAGTTTCTTCTTATAATTATATATACTTCTAATTTATAATTACAGGTAGGTTTTATGAATATTGATGTTGAATGTGCAGAAGTTGTTTCTTTATTTCCATTGAATTTTGCTCGTTACATAATAGCTATGTGTATTCATCTTTAGAGCAGATTATATTTTGGAATTGGGTTTGATTGCATATTGTTATTGGAAAAAAAAGCTTCTCAATATCTGGTCATGATTGTATTGTAAACTTTGTCTATTGAAATTAGGGGTGGGCACAAAAAAAAAAAAGAAACCCAAAAACGTGCTAGAAGGGGGAATGTAGGAACTAGGATAGCAGTCAAGTTCTCAAGTCATAATGGAGGCTAGCAAGAATGGGTACCAAAATCTCCACTTCGGGTCCTTCTGAAACGAACTTCGCCATACTTACTCCATTTTAGGCACAAATATATGAATAAGATAAATTATTGGCTTGGTATAAACTGCCTAAAGTCTATTTCTTGTAATTACCGGTTGTCCTTGAAAATCTGCTTTAATATGCAGCTAGAATAGGGTGAACTAATGTCTATGAACAAACAGGTTGTAAGAAAGTAGCTAATTCTACCCGCAAAACAGGTCTACGTCCGAACCAAATTAATTTGGTTCTTCGGTTTTCGGTACGGTTTTCGGTATTGAGATATCAATATTTCGGTTCTTCGGTTAGGTATTCGGTATTAAGGTTTCGAAATTTCGGTATACCGAAATACCGAACTTTTTTAGTATGCATATTAAGTAGCTTAATTTAATCAAATCTGAGTCCAACCCATAAACCAATCCAAGTCTCATTTTTCCTTTTAGCTTATTAGAATACATTGAAATTACTATTTCAGTGAAGTAATAAAATTAAACTTGAGGAAATTTGGTTTATTTGCTGCTACTACCTCAATTCAATGCCATATTCTGTTTATTGCATAAACTTTTACTGATCTTTATAAATAGAAAATATTTTTTGTCTATCATTAACTAAGAATATTGATCTTCAATAGCTACTAAAAGATGTGTACTTACTGTATCTAATAAATTAGCAAGAATAATATGTGATTATCTTATAATATAACAGAACATTCAACTTTAAGTAATCTAGACTCAAAATACATAGAATAACTTCTGCTTCGAACCCCTTAAACAATAAGTAGAATTCCAAAATTTCGCAAGGTCAATAGCGCTACTGGGAGTGGATTTTGCTGCATTTCCATTTTGTGAGTTTGTATAATCCGTTGGTTTACCAGATGACGTCTTATTTGTTACCTTGCTTTCATTTTACTATATGAATTTGGTGGGATTGTTGTATGAAAACGGACAGTTGCTGCTGCATTTTAATGGAAATTTTTCATGTAAATTTGTTATGTAAATTGATAAATCGAAACCGTATCGAAATTGTTCCGAACCAAATAAGAAATACCGAACCGTACCGAACTATTTTGGTACGGTATTTGGTATTCACAATTAATAAACTAAATACCGAACTAAAGTACCGAACTCTCACCCCTCAGTTAGATAAGAATTCGCTAACTTTCTCCCTAATTATATTAACTGGAGACGGAAGAAATAATTTTTTGGATCTGGTCGTGATTGTATTTTAAAACAGGTCTTAGGTTTGTTCTCCTCTATCGTCAAAGCTAAGTTTCTGCATTGATTTTGAATCCTCCTGTTGTGTTACTTTTCTTCTCCTTGTTCTTTATCTGTCGATGAACATGGTGTTATCTCTATGACTTTTATATAAGATATGGACAGAACGACAATCTAAGAAATATTTTGCTCACGAATTTGATGTGCAAGAATCAACTTTATAGTTTTTCAAATAGAAAATTTAATTTATTTTCTCCAACTATTGTCTCCTATGTCTATCTACTATAACAAAGTGCCGAAGATAACTCGAAGAACTACTTCTCGTATATGTTGGGAACATAAAGACTTAATTCATTATGTCAATCTAGTTAGCTACTCAAATTTAAAAGAAGAAAAAGAAAAAGGAAACTGGGGACAACGTGAATAATTAAGATTATAATTGTGTTATTAATTTTGGATCTTTTATCTAAAGCAAAGGTAATTGTGACACTAGCAGTTGTTCTTTTTTATGTTCATGTTCCTGCTAATGTGGTAATTGTGGTAATTGCATTGTAGAAGAATTCTTTGGTGATTTCTCTTTGCTGCTCTTTGGTTTTGGCTGCTAGGCATTAGTTTTGGCTATTTTCCATTCTCACAATCTACTTATTTATGATCGACCAATTTGAAACCTATGAAAAATATAATTTTGTCTTGCTGTAAAAAAAATCTTTTTGTTCTATCAAGTAAAATGGTTTGGGTTGTGCTATGCACTTGGATGTTTGAGACATCATTGTGCTGATTTAGAAAAGACTGCTCTGCATATTTGTATAATTTATGCACTTATTGGCAATACCTAAAAGTTTTTGAAATAGAAAAAATCAGGAATAACACACTGTACCCTATAGCTGTAACTTTATCGGCTAGCTTCCTGGATAACCCAAATAAACAAGCAGAATACTAATATGAAAACAAGAGTAGGTCCTCACCCGAAATTAACTTGATGGTGAACAGATTTGCATCAATGAACGAAAGTGAGAAACTCAGCCTCTTATTTGGTTAGTATATTTTTTTCGCTTTCTTGGATTATCTCTCTGTCTAAAAGTTAACAATAAAGACAAAAATGTGTATTTGATGAAGATATGCAGTCGATAGTAACAGAAGAGTTCTTTCAAGATTTTGGGAAAAGTGACAGGAGAATAAAGGAAGGAGCTTAAAACGTACTTGCAGTATAAAAAGATTTACACAATCGGGTCACTTGTAAGATCATTACAACAAGATTGTATGATAATTATTAAATGGTGATCTGTTAAAAATGGTTGTACTTGCTATCACAACTTAAACTACACTAATAACGTAAAAAATATTTTACACTAGTATATAGTGAATTCCATCCATTTTCTGTTTCCTACGATGCTTATATTATCTTTCTGATTTTTTTTGTTGTCATAGATTCTATTGTCTATTTTCGTCTTCTTGAGCCGAGGATTTCTCGGAAATAACCTTTCTATCCCTCTGGGGTAGGGGTAAAGTCTACATACATTCTACCCTCCCTAGACCCCACTTGTGGAATTTTATTGGGTTGTTATTGTTGTTGTATTGTTGTAATTATGTGTGCTGATTTGTTTTGCGTGCTTTTAATAATTTCTGTTTTTAGAAATTTGTCTCTTAATTGCTGTTGTTTTTAACCCTTTTTGTTTATATCTTTTATTGATGCCTCTTATGTTCTAAATCACCCAAGTCATTTATTAAGAGGATCCTCCACCATGATTTGGTGGTTTTATATTCTCAATTACTTGTTCCGCAATTTGTAAAGCCTCAAAACCATATACTCCTAGTTGGTTCAGTGATCACATCCTTCCCTCTGTTAGGAATATTGTGGGTTAGCTTCATTTGTCCCTTTCCCCTGCTGTCCTCTCTGTATCTGTTTTTGATTTGTTCATCTTTAGTGATAGTTTTCCCTATCATGTTCTTGACTTTAATTTGCTTCACTGGCTGATGTTGTTAGTTTAATTCACTTGTAGTTGAAATATCACCCTGTTAAACATTCACTTCTTTTGATCTCCATTCTTGCACAACTCTTCTTGATCTTCTCCTTCTTTGTTGTTGGCCAAACTGTCTGTTCTTGTCCTGCTCATTCACTTTTTGCACAGTTATGCCCTATGCTTATACATTTAGTATTATTAGCTTTCTCTTTCACTATGTTTGGAACTTTTTAATAAAGGTTATTTGAATTCCAGAAAAATTTGTGTCTTATGCTTTAGATTTATAATCGCCATGTTTGATTTATTTACTCCAATTGTTCAACTAACACGATGATTAAATTTATTTATTTATTTTTTTAAAATAAAATAGTTAGAGAAGTTTTTACTAAACTGACATGAGCTTGTTCTTTTAACAGGTCAAAAATTTGAAGAATAAAGATGTCATTGAAGAAAGTACAAAGCAAGTTGATGCATATTAGATCTTATAGCTTTCTTGGCGGTTGTGTAGGGATGTTGTCATTGTACATATGTTATAATTTCATTTTCTCTCTTTTAGGATTTGATAGTGAGAAAGTCATACAGTTTAGATGTGTATATATATTCTAGTAATGTGTTGTTTTATAGTTCTTTCTAATTGACAGATTAATTTTATGTGAATACATGTGGTTATTTAATATTTATTCTGATGTGTATGTATAAGTATATCGAACAATGAATATTATTGCGCAAACACATGGAAACATTTATGAATTATCTAATTGTATTTATTAAAATTTCATATAAGCGAAGGAAAATATGGTCTTTACAACTATTTAATGATTGGATTGTCAAATTGTTAAACAGGTATTAGTGGAAAAAAATTAGTATTAAAAGTAACATAAAATTAACGAAAGGGAACTCCGGTCGCTAAAAGTAATTATAGTAATCGAATTTGTGGTTGTTTTTAAAGAGCTTTAACGACCGTATGACAAATCAACGAGGAAAAAATTCGGTCACAAAAGAGTAAGTATAACGATCATAAAATATGTCGTCGCTAAAGAATCTTTAATGACCGAACTCCAATCCGGTCGTTAACTTTTAACGACGGCGCATTTAGTGACCGGTGACGATCAGTTTTTGCTCGGTCGTTAGTGACCTATAGCGACCATATTTGGGCTTTTAACGACTGGATTTTTCATCGCTAATAATCACTTCTCTTGTAGTGAATCCTCATGACTCATATCATCACCATATAACTCCGTCAATGTGCGCTTGCTCACATTGTCGGTCTCAAATCGAATAACGGAGGAGAATTAAGGTACCAGTGTAAAATTTACCAATTCATAGTGAATTCTCATAATTTAATTTTCCTATACTGACAGTAAAAAATATTATATTCTCATGTCACCTAAAATATAGTCATATGTAATTGCGCACAAATAAATGGAGTATAAGTAGTAGCCTGAGAAATAAAATTTGATAGCCTAGATTTAAATTTAACTGAGTATAAGTTCGTTGCACTTTCAGTATAAGATAAATTTATTCTTTTGCCCCATTCACACGGCAAAAGCCGACATGGATGGGGTAATATTCCCACTTAACAGACAAATTACTTTCTGTTCATTACACCATTAGTACGAAAAACATCAGTAATATCAGATCATCTCACATGTTAATGCCGCTTTGGTTTCTAGATGTCTTTCAAGCGTGAGACAGCAAGCATATGGAGAGGGATGATGTACATCTAATTATTGGAGCTTTCAATATATATCTAGAATCACTTAATTCTCTCGATCTTTGGCCACTGCATAATTATCGGTCATTGATTTTGTAGTTAAATGAGGAACTTTAAGGGGATACCAGCTACTTATGTACTTTTTTAGCTTCTGATATAACGAAACTTAGTTCCATGCTTATTGACCCTTTTTGAGGAACTTTAATTTGAGGCAATTATATACTCCCTCCGTTTCAAATTAGATGAGGTACTTTTCTATTTAGTCTGTTTCAAAATAAATGATACATTTTTAAATTTGGAAATAACTTAACTTTAAACTCTTCATTTTACCCTTAATAAGAAGCTTTTATAACCACACAAATATCATGTCCCCACAAAGCTTTTACCACTTAAGCTTTTAAGACCATAAGTTTCAAAAGTCTTCTTCTTTTTTCTTAAACTACGTGCCGAGTCAAACTATTTCATCTAAATTGAAACGGAAGGAGTAACTTTTTTTTGACGAAGAAGATTCAATTGAACCCTTCGGACTAAGGGATGTCAAACCATATAGCTCCTCTCTTGCATCCCTTTACGATGAAATAAATCAGGTCTAGCTTTTGTGAATAGTAAGTGAAAAATAATTAGTAACTTAAAACTTGATTAAATAACTCTCTCGTTTCTCATACATTGTAGCGACCTGACTTGTCGTTTTAAGAATTAACGCTCCGTTCAGTGACTTAAGGTCCCGAAAAACTTCGTAATATGTATTGTGTAACGACCCGACGGGTCGTTTTGAGCATTTGCACTTCGCTCGGTAGTTTAGGGGCGTGAGTAGCCCCGTATAATGTATTTTGACTTGTGTGAATCATCGGTTTGGTTTTTAGTTTATTCGGGACTTATTTGGAAGAATGATTCTCAACTAGGGAGATTCAAATTTTAAAGAGTTGATCAAGTTTGACTTTTAGCATTTAACCTCGGATTTGAATTTTGATGGGTCTGTTAGCTCCATTGGGTGATTTTGGACTTAGGAGCGTGTCCGAATTGTGATTTAGAGGTCCGTGGTTGAATTTGGGTCGAAATGGCGAAAGTTAAAATTTTAGAAAGGTTGACCAGGAGTGGACTTTTTGATATCGGGGTCGGATTCCAATTTTGGAAATTGGAGCAGGTCTGTAATGTCGAATGTGAGTTGTGTGCAAAATTTGAGGTCATTCGGACGTGATTTGATAGGTTTCGGCATCAGTTGTGGAAGTTTGAAGTTTTAAAGTTCATACATTTTGATTTGAGGTGTGATTCATCGTTTTGATGTTGTTATGTGTGTTTTGAGACCTCGAGTAGGTCTGTATCGTGTTATGGAACTTGTTGGTATATTCAGACGGGGTCCCGAGAGGCTCGGGTGAGTTTCGGACGAGGTTCAGATTATTTCATTTCATTTTTGGATTTTGCTAAGATTTCTGGTTTTCGTGTTTCTGCATCTGCGGAAGAGTGGGCGCAGATGCGAGTCCGCAGATGCAGACAATTGGCTGCAGAAGCATAGCAGGCCATGGAGGACAAGGGTCGCATGTGCGAAGAAATTCCCGCACCTGCGATAGCGCAGATGCGGACAAGTGGACGCAGGTGCGGGGGCAGCTAGGAGAGATTGACTTCGTAGAAACGAGGCCAGGGCCGTAGATGCGCGTTCGCAGGTGCGGAACCTGGAGCACAGGTGCGGGCCCTGGAGGTGCAAGTTAATTTCACATAAGCGACATTTTTCACCGCAGATACGGCATCGCAGGTGCGACAATAGGCCCGCAGATGCGAAAAGTCTGGGTAGAAGGTTTATAAGCAAGGGTTCACGATTTTAGTCTTATTTCAACATTTTGGATTCAGAATTAGGCGATTTTGGAGAAGCTTTTCGAGGTGATTATTGAGGTAAGCTTCTTGTACTGGTTTTGGATCATAAAACTTATTTTTCCACCTAATTAGTGAGATTTTGAAGTGAAATTTGGGGGTTTAGTGCTTGAGAATTGGAGAGTGGATTTTGGGGATTTGGATGACCAAATGGTGTCGCATTTTGATAAATTTGGTATGGTTAGACTCGTGAGTGTATGGGTTGTTGGATTTTATAAATTTTGTTGGGCTCCGAGGTGCGGGCCCGAATTGGGCTTTTGGCCGATTTTGGGCTTTTGATTCAAGATTTGATCTTTTTCGATCGGGATTGGTTCCTTTAGCATTGTTTGATATATTTGAGTTATTTTTGGTTAGTTTCGAGCCGTTCGGAGGTCAGAACCCGTGGGATGGCATTTTGGAGCATCGCTTGGCTTGTTCGATGTTGGAATTGGCTTGTTCGAGGTAAGTAACTCTTCTAATCTTAGTGATGAGGGTATGAAACCCCAAAATACGTGTTATGTGATTTGTATTGAGGTGATGTACATGCTAGGTGACGGGCGTGTGGGCGTGCACCCTGTGAATTATGATTCCGTTATTTTCATGGCACTGTATAGTGGCCCTATTTTGTTGATATTTGTGTTATCACCATGTGATAAAGTAGTTAAGCTGTCAATTATGCTAAATATCATGTTTAGGCTTTATGCTGGTATTGTTAGGACCTATAGTGGTCGTTTCTTGCTGTCATCTCACTTATTTCATTGATATATTATACTCAGTTATATTCATGCATTCATATCATATCTCAGTCTCAATTGTTGTTTATTGATCTATTATATCATTGTTGTCGGGCTAGTTTCATGGCATTGTGAGCCCGTGAGTGAGACTGAAGAGATTGATGACTTAGTGAGGTCGAGGGCCTGAGTGAGAGTAACATTTTGGGATCGGGCTGCATGCCGCAGCATATGATATTGATTATATTTTATATGGATCGGATTGCACACCGCAACAAGCCTTCGGGCTATATATATATATATTATTGGATCTGGTTGCATGCCGCAACAATATTGGATCGGGTTGCATGCCGCAATAATATTGGATCGGGTTGCACGCCGCAATAATATTGGATCGGGTTGCACGCCGCAATAATATTGGATCGGGATGCACGCCACAACAATATAGTGCTTGGGCTGAAGGAGCCTCTCCGGAGTCTGCACACCACCAGTGAGCGCAATCGACTATATATATGTGTGGATCGGGATGCACGCCGCATCGGGTATTATACAACGCTGAGTAATTGAGTGTGCTGAGCCTTGAGCATAGTGAGAGAGAATGCGAGACAGTGAGATTGAGTACTCTGAGAGTGTGAGTACATGAGTTCATCTTTGAGATGCATTGCATTGACATGCACACATGACATACATGCATAGAGATGTATTTTCATCATACTATACGGTATCACATCATTCATGATTTCTCACACATGTTGACAGATGGGCATAGTGATGCATTTGTTTTACACTGGTTATCTGGAAAGAAAATGAAACATCTTATTTATTATGGAAAGGATTTTGGAAAAATTATTGTTTTCAAACTTATTCATATTTTTTTTGGTAACTCTGGTAAACGATTTGGGTTTTCATTGAAGTACTCGAAAGGCAGAACTATTTTCAGAAATCATATTTTTGTTGAACATTTGATTATTGAGTTACTTCTGGTATTACTTGTTTAATATTGTTATGAACTATTGTTGGTTATTGAAGTTGGGACCCGGCCTTGGAAATCTCGATACTACTTTCAATCTAAGGTTAGGTTTATTACTTATAGAGTACATGGGGTCGGTTGTACTCATACTACACTTCTGCACCTTGCATGCAGATGTTGGTTGCTGATGTTGCTGTGTTCGATGGGAGCTAGATTGAAGATGTACCTGCGTCCTGGGTGTAGCTGCCTCTTGTTCGTGGTAGCTTTAGATCTGTAAAACTCTGTTTATGTACTATTCAAACAGACTATGTATTTATTTCATTTTTGCTTTGTAAACTCTAATCATAGAAACTCATGATTTGTACTACCAGTTCTTGGGGAATGTATAAGATTAAAATTTTTTTCTTTACTTAAATTGC